AAGCGAATGCAGTTTGCAATGATAGCTTTTATAAACGATGTTGCAGCACAAAGAGTAAATGTCACAGAGATTTTAGAAAATCTAAATTTTTATGCTCCCACTCGTTCCTTAAGAAACAGAAATATGTTTTATATTAACAACCAAAGAACAAACTATGCCAGAAACGCACCTTTAAAGAGAATGATATCTTGTTATAATGAACATTATGAAACAATTGATTTGACAATGAACAAAAATGCTCTTGAAAAACGTTTCTTTTCGAGGTTAGTCAGAGATTGAAAATTCAAACAGATGTTAAGTGTTTTTTTTTTTGTAATTTAAACTGGTCTACATTTGATTGACGACGAATAAATAAATAAATAAATAAAAAATATACAAAGTATCATGGACACCTTAGAAGGTGAAGTCCGAAATTTGCTTCTACTGTTGCATTTGGCCTGGAAATGCTCAACAGTAGTGCTTATAGTAAAATTATGTGACGTTAGTGTGAGTAATAGAAGCACTCAAAACGGCAGATAAATTAATTGTTCTTTCGGCTGTATTGCAAAATTTGAAGGCACCGCTCCTGTTAAACTTGACCTTATCCACATCCCTTCAACCGCAACAAGCATTGGAAGCTTATATCGATTACGTTAGCACAATAATCAATATTGGCCGTCAATATTTAATAACCGGATCTACCATGGTGCTGGCAAGAAGCTATCTAGAAAATAAAATATGAAAGAATAAAGAGAAAAATCCTTTCCGGATTGGAGTGCTCTTTTCCAACAGTCATGTCTTAAAACACCTTTCAAGGTGAGCTCTTATATTATATAATTCCATCATGGTGTAACGGGATGTAACATTAGGCCTACACACTCAATCTAGCTCGGTAAAATCTCCAACAGCCGATTACCTCGGCATTTTAATTTGTTGATATCTCTGCAAAAATCTAATTTGTTAATGGCGTACATTGTCAAATGAAATAATATGACAATACAATAAGGTTGTGAAAAACTAAATGGAAGAAGTCAACCATGGCAAAAAAACGTAAGAATTCCATAAGAAACACTTATGAATTTTAGCCACAAAAAATCAATATGAATTTCATTGATTTGCCTTATGAAAAATAATGTTGACAAAAAATAATAAATCGGAGCAGACTAGAACCGAACCATGGACGTTGAGATTAAGGGACCCGTGTGTTGACCACTCGTCTTTCAACGCTTGATAAAATCATGGTTAAAGCCGTATAAGAGCTACATCATGTTAGACGAAAATCATTCATAAGTCACGCTTATGAAATTCATATATGTCGTTCATAACTCGAGCCTTATGAAATTCTTATGTTTATTTGCTCCAGTGTATACCCCATAATCTCAACGTCCATGGTTCGGTTCCAGTCACTTTGCCTCAGTGCAGGTCAGGGACATGCACCCTATCAAATTAGAAATATTGAACTTTCCTTTCATTGGTTGCGCGAAATATTAGGAACATAGAGAAAGTGCAAGTATTTTCTGCAACAATCAAACTCTAAAGGGGGCATTCAATAGTTACGTAAGCGTCTTTTTGGGAATTTCTAACCCCCTCCCCCTTATACTTAGTAATACTTAAGAAACCACTCTCCTACCCCCTTTGTAAGATTTTTCATCGAACCTTTTAATGGTCTACTTGCATGTTTACGTACAATATTTCTTAGACCCCATGTAAGCAAACGTAAGAACATTTTTACCAAACCCTTCCCTGCTTTATTAATTATTGAACGGTCCCAAAGAACAACTCATAATTGGAAGAAGGGAACATTTATATTGAAAGTACGCCAGTGCAGTGGATGTGCGTTATTCTTGCATCTCGAAGAGATTTTGCTAGTTATGTCAAACGTCCATTATGTCAAATGACTATTATGCCAAACAACCATTATGACATGGTATTTTCTGCCGGACTGCTTCACATGGTAAGCGCAAAATATACAGTAATGACTATAAAGTAAACATTTTCGAGGGAAACTGAGACTACCTATTAAATGAGTAAAATTTTACCCATTTATGAGTAATTAAAACCACAAACATAAGAAGTAGGGGAAATGGATGTAATGTCGGCCCCTAATTTGGGCCCATACATAAATTCAGCAATCGACTAAATTATAAATAGTGAGCAAACATATCCATTAGTACCGTCCCAATGACGCGTTAATCTAGATACAATTGATAAATAGCAGATTTTTAGCGATCGGCCCAATCTTAGAACCATAGGCCAACATTAGAGCCATTTCCCCTAAGTATTCATTTGTAAGTGACAAATACTCATACATGGGTGTCCAATTCTCCGTCGAAAGTGCTTACTTTGTAATCAATATCGAGACTTTTATAGGCATTATTGGATATTTTCTGGTTAACGTGTAAAGGGCGAACACGAAATTATTGCGACACCGAAAATGTCATGCCAATTTTCTTATAATGTTTAGAATCAAACCAAAATTTTAGGGTAGTTTTATACATATATTTACTTCAAAAATCAAAAGAAAAGTTAATCGATGGAGCCTTGAGTGTAAAATTGAACGCATTTTCGCTTGATGCCCTCCATCAAAGTCTTTACAGTGTCATCCGGTACCAGTTTCTCAGTTTTTTTTTCATTTTCTTAACATGTCCTTCTCGTCTTTGACTGTCTTCTTGCTCTTCCGAAGTTCCCGCTTCATTATTGCCCAGTACTGCTCCATCGGGCGCAGCTCCGGACAGTTTGGCGGATTCATGTCCTTTGGAACAAAATGGACAGAATTGGCCTCATACCACTCCAGGAGACTTTTAGAATAGTGGCATGATGCCAAATCCGGCCAAAATAGCGGAGCTTCGTCGTGCTGCTGCCAGTGCTGTAAATTCTCAAAATCATTTGAACATTTTTGATGAAAATGAGAAAAGTAGCTATTCGCTATCAAAGGAGACCTCCTCCGAATGGGTGATATCAGTTGCTTAGTCATTTGACGAAGGCATGGATCATTCTCATTTGAGAAACGCTATATATCATTCAATTGAGTGTAACCTACACACAAACGGAGCTCTGGTCGACATATCGGCGAAAAAGCTATTTCAAGCCGACACCAACCTGACTTCTATCAAACCCCAACCCGATGTTGACCCGACATTGACCCGACATAAACCCAAAATTGACCCGACAACAACACGACATTGGGTCGACATCGACCTTAAATTAGCCTTACATTGATCCGACATCGGGTCGACTTGTCTGTTCGGGACCATTTTACTGTATTCCTTCCATACTCTACTGTCGTATATCAAATGATATTGAGTGACTCAATTGACAGTGACAATGAGCTTCGAATGAGAAAGGGGCTCTTCAAATTATGGTCATGTGAGAATTCGTTTACACAGAATTGATTGAATGGTTGTATTGGTTCATCTTCAATCGAATGATATGAAAATTTACAGCACTGGCTGCTGCAAGAACGGCAAAAGGCGCTTCTCGAGGCACTCAGATTTGTAGATCTCGCCATTTACTGTGCCCTTTGTCACGAAAGGCTCACTCCTCAGTCCGCAAGAGCAGATGGCCTGCCAAATGAGATATTTGGTGGCGAACTTCGACATTTTCTTCTTCCTAAATTTGTCGTCCACATCGAACTTGCTCTTGCCGGTGAAAAACTCCAACCCCGGAATTTGCTTAAAATCGGCTTTTATATACGTTTCGTCGTCCATCACACAGCAGCCATATTTTGTCAGCATCTTCTCGTAGAGCTTCCGTGCCCGAGTTTTAGCCGTCGATTGTTGCCGCTCATCGCGGTTTGGGAAGTTCTGTACCTTGTATGTATGTAGTCCAGCTCTCTTCTTTGCATTCTGGACGTAGCTCTGCGACATGCCGATCTTTTTAACCAAATCACGGCTTGAGACGTTGGGATTTGCTTTAATCATCCGCTTCACCTTTCCCTCCGTCTTTTTGTTCTCCGGTTCCGGTTTTCTTCCAGCTCCTTTGCCGTGGTCCAACGTCAACCACTCCTGGAACCGCTTCAACACTCTGGAGACGGTTGAATGGTGAATGTTCAACATTTTTCCCAACTGCCGGTGCGACAGGTCAGGTGTTTGGAAAGAATTTGTTCTCTCAACTCGCGTTGGTTCACCTCCATTTTCGTTGAATCGAAAAACACGATTTCGAGTTTGACAGCATGTACACAATACACATCAATGAGAAAGTGTGCAAAATTTGGTTGATTTTTACCCAATGGTAAAAAAGTTATGCCCTGTTGAATGTGTCGCAATAATTTCGTGTTCGCCCTTTATGCCAAACGGCGTTCCTCCTAAATGCACTAATTATTTACATACACTCAGAAAATTTATCACATATCTAATGGATGAAATCCAAATCACATAGCTTTTCTGTGATCACATAGCTGCAAATCCCTCCACAAAATCACATGAATATTATGATGATAGTCACACGAGCTTCATTTCGTGCAGAGTCGGTATGGCTCCAAAGCTACGTTAAGTTGCTTTGAACTTCGATACTAGACCAGAAGAGATTTTATTCCGTGACTTTGAAGAAACCAGTTCAATAAACTTGTGGTTGCCACAATTGAACCCGCCTATCATCACAATCGCTCCGGGACCATCGCAGTTTTCAACTCTCAGTCCATACATCCTGATATTTAAAAAAGTTGATTATCACTGCCTAATATATTGTTGTACCTTTCAGAATCATTACACATGATTATTATGTTGCAAAGTGAACGAAATATTTAATAAAAAAAATAAATGTCCGGATCAATTAAAACAATATTCAACCAATAGATTTTGTTTTTGAAAAAAAAAGCTATTTCACTCCCGTTTACGGTATAAGAATATTAACATGTAAAATTCCCAAAACAATTCTATCTATAATTTGCTATAGAAAGTATAGAGCAGCGAGTTATCAAACATTGAACTCAGCCCGTCAATGCGAAAACATTCAATAATCATTATCAGCATTTTGGCACGCGCCGTTTGCCTATAAAAGCTGCAGTGGCTTCTGTGGCAAATCATTACCGCCTTCCCGCAGGAAAGTGAAACACAGGATGAAGTGGATCGTGGCAACAATCGCTGTATCCCTGGCCGTCGTGGTCAGTGGATCGGAGTACAAAACCAACGTGAAAACCGATCTCACATTTGGTAAGCGATATTCAAGTGCCTTTATTTACTGTACATCTATAAACTGATAATTTAATATTTGTGAACTACAACAGCGGATAAGGACTTCCTTCTGAAGCAAAAGTTTTTCTTCGAGATCTTGAGGAACATCCATCTCCCACTGCAGTATGAAGAATATTTGCCCTACACCAAAACATGGATTGGTGACGAGACCAAGTATACGGTATGCTCATTTTTTGTCAATGTTCCAATTTTCATTTTTTAAACTTAATTTTTCTCATCTCACAGAACTACGATCAAGTGGTGGAGTTCTTTGATCTATTTAAACTTGGATTCTTGGAGAAGGGTGAAATTTTCACGATCTACAACAAGTACTATCTGAAGCAGACTTACCTGTTGTTCACCTTCCTGTACAACTCGTTGGATTGGGATACCTACTACAAGAACGTTCTATGGGCACGTGAGAACATTAACGAAGGAATGTTCATCTATGCCATTACGCTAACTGTGCTCCATCGTACTGACTTGAAGGGAATCGTTCTTCCAGCCATTTACGAAATCTACCCGTACTATTTCTTCAATACCGATATTATCCGCACTGCTAGCTATCGCAAAATGTACGATCCCAAGTTCGGATTCTACGGTAGCGGAAAATACAACGTAGTATACTCCAACTTTACCCTAACATACCCGCTGGAAACGAAACTTTTCGATGATTTCGACCTGAGCTACTACTATAACGACATCGGTTTGAATTCTTACTACTATTACTTCATGATGGACTATCCATTCTTCTTCGGAACTGACAAGTTCGGATTGTTAAAGGATCGCCGTGGAGAACTGTACCTGTACATGCACCAGCAACTGTTGGCGCGTTACAATTTGGAACGTTTCTCGAACTTCATGTATCCGATCAAGGGACTGACCTGGAGCTTCCCACTTAAACTTGGATACTTCTCGCTGTTGAGCTACTGGAACGGAGTGCCATTCAAGAGCCGTGATTTCAACTACATGATTAAGGACGAAGATTATATCAAGCTGGACTTTATTAAGGACTGGGAAATGAGAATCAGGAAGATTATTGATCAAGGATATCTATATCTGAAAGATGGAACGAAGATTGACTTGCGCGACTGGAAAAACATCGACTATATTGGAAACATTCTCAATGCTAACGTTGACAGTGTAAATGATGAAAGCTTTGGCTACATTGAAATTTTCTCTAAGCTTCTCCTAAGCGGTAATAACTTTGATACAATGTTTTTCAAAACATGGCCATCATCCCTAATGCACTTTGAGACCACTCTGCGTGATCCAATTTTCTACTCTCTGTGGAATCGCTTGCTAGACTTCTACTATCTGTTCAAGAGCTACTTGCCATACTACACATTCGATGAACTCACCTTCAAGGGTGTAATCATCAAGGACGTTGTGATCGACAAACTGATGACCTATTTTGAATACTTTGATGCCGATATTTCCAACATTATTCCACTGACCAACGTCGACAAGTACTGGGACTTTACTGTGTTAGGCCGTACCATTCGATTGAACCACAAACCATTCACCTACACGCTGGATGTTATGTCCGAGTTCACCGGAAAGGGCGTGATCCGTGTATTCCTGGGACCGAAGTTCGATAAGCTGATGGATTTGGAATACTACAAAAAATTCTTCGTCGAAATCGATCAGTACCTGGTTGACTTGCTGGTAGGAAAGAATACCATCGTTCGTAACTCGCGTGACTTCTTCTGGAGCGTGAAGGATCGTACTCTGTACACTGACTTGTATAAGAAAATCATGACTGCTTATACCGGAAGCGAAAAGTTCCCACTGGACATGTCTGAGGCTCACTGTGGATTCCCAGATCGCTTGATTCTGCCAAAGGGTTGGATTAGCGGTATGAAAATGCAGTTCTACTTCATCATCACTCCCTACGTAACCAAGGATGTGCAACAAGTTTCATTCTTCGATAAGTCAATTTCATGTGGAGTTGGTACTGGCCTTCGTTACATTGATGATCTCCCGATGGGATTCCCCTTCGATCGTGAGATCAATTACTCTTACTGGTACACAAAGAACATGCTTTTCAAGGATGTCCTCATCTACCACAAGGATATATGAATGTGTGTAATGATTAACAAATGTGTACTGACGACTGAATATATCTCAAGGATTATTAATAAACTATCGCAAGGCGTATAAAAATGCTACACCCACATAGAACTGCACAATTAAAATCCGAATATCAACACTTAAACGAAATTAGGTTAACCGAAATGTAATCTATGTAATGCATGTGATATTGATGTCATAGAGCAATATTTTGCATTTATTCATCAATTACTATTACCATGGGTATATTCGAAACATGTCCACAATGAATGAAGTATAACCAGAGTGGCAGTGAACCATCAGCTTAGCTTTCAATTAGTGTTTTCTACCCGGGTTATCGCGAGAAACTATTCCTGAAAAAACACACAAAAGGTAACGTTTCCTAATTCTCGAAAATCCTATTCGTTTTCCGGATAAATAACAATTATTTCACAAAGTACATGCTAAATATAAATTTTTGAAACAATTTAATTTATACTCAATGGAAATTTGATAAATTTGGTAGTATATAGGAAGAGGACATAATTTTAATTTGAAAGGAAGTTTCACGGGAATATGAAAAAAAAACTGTGGAAGAAAGACAGGAGGTAATTCTAGCAGAAAGCAAATGTTATTTTGAAGGCAGCCGGAAGAAGCTTTCGGGGAAAGTTAAAAAAAAATTCCAAGGGAAATCTGGACTAACTTCCGGAAACAGTCGAAAGACACAAGATTTGAAGAACTGCCCAAGAAGAAGTTTTAAGAATCTTACGAGGGAAGTGGAAAGAGACTTTCGAAAAAAGTCGGTGCAAATTCTCGGGAAGTCGGAAGTCAATTACAGGGGAAGCCAGAAGAACCTCGGAAGAATCTTCCAGTATAAGATGAGATAAACCTTCATGCATGTCTGGAGATACTTTCAGAAGAAGTCGATAACTACTTCTCAGAGCACTCAAACGAAAATTCCAGTGGAAGATTCCTGGAAGCTAATAGAAACCTCCAGATATAGTTTAAAGGACACTTCAGTAGAAATTCGGAAGAATCATCCATCGTAAGCCGGAATGGATTTTGGATAGTTAGAAGAATTGCTGAAAGAAGCTTCAGGGAGGAAATGGTTCCAAATAATAATAATAATAATAATAATAATAAAACTTCGAGGGAAAGAAACTAAGATAAACCGGAAGATTTAGTCGAGGGAAGTTAAAAATCATTCAAATGTAGACGAACAATGTTTCCAGAGGAAAACAGAAAAAAATATGGGAGCAATTGGAAAGGAAATTTTTAGATGGAAATTTTCAATGGTAGTTGAAAGAAGTTTTCGGGAAAAACAGGAGAAACTTCCAAGCGATGTCAAAAAAAAAAATCCTATGGAAAATAAAAAAAAAAAAAACTTTCAGGGGAAGAAAATGGCCTTCATGTATCGTTTAGCAAAAACTGAAAAAGAAGCAAATATTTGTAACCAATGATCCATTTTTCAAGAATAATTAACTAAAGTGTGTATCTTTCGACAGATTTAAGCTCCATTTTAATATTGTCCTCTCCCCTGGGGGTAACTAAGAAATCTCTGAAATGGCCAGAGTTAGAGAGAAAGTAAAAAAAATCTCTATTATAGACGATTTATGGATTGAACAATCAATATCAAATCATAAAAAAAATGAAAATATAAACCGTTCTATTTTGGCAACATTACATTTTAAGGCTGAATAAGCAAAAGTATGGTGTCATTCTAACCCCCATTTTCTCACTCTGCACTCATTTTTCTACCTCGATTTTTTTTTAAACAAACGCCTCTTTACATACTGCCTACCTTCTAAGTTGATTTTCATTTTGTTCGACCATTTTCCACAGAGATGGCGCTGTTCCGCTGGTAGGAAGTGATAAAAATCCCCATAAAGAAATTGAGAGAAGTGAGAATAATTCGCTTTCGGTGCGTATTCAGGTCAAACAAAGTGAACGACAACCTAAAGAAATGAATCAGAGACTTTGTAGTTCAGTTTTTTTTTCCCGGAAATTATTGTTAAACAAGCTACAATTAAATAAAAATGATTTTTCTCCATAAAGTTTTACCTGATTTACTACCAGCTCCTAGAGAGCCAAAAAATTCAAATTTGAGAGAGAAAATTTGCTCTCACGACCTCAATCTCTCAACAGTATTTTGTTGACACTCGATTTGTGATTTCCCTTTCACATATTACAAAATAGAGTACCTGACACTACAAAACATGTCTGGTACCTCTATATATGCATTTGCTTTAACATTTGAAGTCCCTCCTTTTTGACATATGCTGCGCAAAAGATACTTTATGCCCGCTCCATACATAAAATGCGGCGGGAAATTCTGTGAGCGGTGAGCTTTTTTGTATGCAGAATGTGTGAAAAAGAAGGGACTTCGAAGAATAATCTAAATGCATATATAGAGGTACCAGACATGTTTTGCACTGCAGTGTCCTCTGTGAACAATTATAGGAAAACAGATTATGTCTAGTTTCCGATAGATGTCACCGCCAACAACAGCAGTGACATCTGATGGAACATGAATGCAGAAGCTAGACAAAATCTAGAAGTGGACTAGCGGCTAAATTCAAGAGGACCTGTCCACCATCACCCGTACCGGTTCCCGCTTCGTAGTTGGAGGAGATCTGAATGCTCGCCATGAGGCCTGGCGGAACTACCAGCAGAACCAGAACGGTCGTCTCCTGTTCGACCACTCACAGCAAGGGCTGTACTCCGTTTGGTTTTCGGATGAACCAACATTCATCTCACCGGCGGGCAACCCATCGACGCTAGACCTGTTCCTGACAAATATCGGCTTGTCCAAGCCGGTAGCCTTGAACGAACTCAGCTCCGACCACCAACCGGTGGTGGCTGAACTGGGCTGCAACGTGGCTCCTGCTTCAAGCCTGCGCAAGGACTACCATCGCGTTAACTGGGCCCAGTTTGGACACGTGGTAGACAGGCACATCATCGACAACCCGCCGCTTGACACCGTGGAGGACATCGACCGAGCGTTGGAGGGACTCCACCAAGCCATAACCGTGGCTGACGAGGCGTGCGTCCGACGAGTTCCTGTGAGGGGTAAGTTTATTGCCATTGATTCCCACACCCAACTTTTGATTCGCCTGAGAAATGTTCGTAGACGCCAGTTTCAGAGGACTGGAGATCTGGGCAAAAAACGTGAAATGGCTGATCTGAACAGACAGATTGCTTCCAGAATGGACTCACTCCGAAATGAAAGTTTCGGGCGTGTTGTCCAGAATCTGGACGACCGCTCCAGACCATTCTGGAAGGTAGCCAAGGTCCTGAAAACTCATCCCAAACCCATTCCACCTCTCAAAGTCGAAAATGATGACGATCGGCTTTTAATCACCCCACAGGAGAAAGCAAATGCGATCGGCGAGAATGTCGCTTCATCGCATTTGCTTGGCTCGAATATCCAAAGTCCGCTCGAAGATCAGGTTGCGCAATGCGTTCAAAACCTAGATGCCTCCCCTTATGTCGTGCCTCCAGCGGATATGATTACAGTACAACAAATTTGCTCAGCGCTGAAATGCACCAAGAACATGAAGGCCCCCGGGTTTGACGGTATATTCAACTTGATCTTGAAGAGACTCAGCATGAAAGTGCAGTCTCTCCTAACCGCTATCTTCCACAGATGTTTGGAACTGCACTACTTTCCAAGCATCTGGAAAGTAGCAAAAATCATACCAATCCGCAAACCCGGTAAGGATCCAACATTGCCTTCAAGCTACAGACCAATCAGCCTCCTTTCAGCGCTGAGCAAATTGTTCGAGAAACTCATTCTCAATCGTTTGCTCAAGTTTGTCGAGGAAAATAACATTCTCCTTCCGGAACAGTTTGGATTCAGAAAGGGGCACTCCACCAATCATCAGCTAGTACGGGTGATGAATAACATTCGAAGTAACAAAGCTGTATCCAAGTCCACAGCCATGGCTTTGTTAGACGTTGAAAAGCCGTTTGACAATGTTTGGCATGACGGACTTGTGTACAAGCTTTGTAACTTCAACTTCCCATTACATCTGGTTAAAATCACCCGTAACTACCTTCAGCAAAGGTCGTTTAAGGTATCGTTGAATGGTTGTCTTTCCGACACGTTTTCCATCCCAGCAGGAGTGCCGCAAGGCAGTCTGCTGGGCCCCTTGCTTTACAGCATTTATACTTCCGACATTCCTCCCCTTGGAGACGGTTGCGTGTTCTTCCTGTTCGCAGATGATACCGCAATAGCCGTCAAAGGAAGGATGCCTCGCGAAATAACGAACAAACTTTAACGATGCCTTAACGCCTTTGCTGATTATGCCACCACGTGGAAAATAAAAATCAATGCCTCCAAAACACAAGCGATCATGTTCCTTCATCGGCAATCGCCCAAACTGAAACCGGCTCCATCTTGTACTGTAATCATGGATGGCACAAGGGTTGAGTGGTCCGCCGAAGTAACCTATCTCGGGATGTTGTTTGACGAAAAGTTCCTATTCCGCTCGCATGTGGAGAAAACCGTTATCAAGTGTTCTGCCTTGACTAGATGTCTGTATCCGCTGATTTGCCGCAGATCCCGCCTCTCAAGGGTGAACAAACTGGCCGTCTACAAACAAATCATAGCACCTGCGGTCCTCTACGCAGCTCCGGTGTGGGAATCATGTGCACAGACTTACAGGAATAAAATTCAGGTCGCACAGAATAGAGTGCTGAGGATGGTTCTTGATCGTCCTTTCGACACTAGAATAACAAATTTACATGAAGAGGCAGGCATTGCCAAAATAGATTCCAAAATTAACGAAATTAAAACTAAATTTGCACAAAAATGTAATTTATCAGAACATGCTTTGATAAGCAATTTGTAGATAGTAGGTTAGGTGTATATAGTAGTTGTAGGTTAGTTGTAGTTGTAAATAGTAGTTATAAGTAGACTCCTTTTTCCAATTCAAATCAAACCAATCCCACCAAGGTGGTCATACTTTAAAATAGGCCTGATAGGACTAGAAACTGTAAATAATAATTAAAATCTCACTGTACTAAAGTTGAAAAGACGCATCTGTGTCACTTGA